TTTGGAGTTTAGGGTTTTAGGGTTTGGGGTTTAATAGTTACCCATACTGTTGGTCCTTACCAGATATACCCAAACCCTAGTCTAGTTATTAAGGCCCCTGCATTATAGGGTTTCCAACTCGACCCAAGGTCCTGTGCTAACATGAGGTTAAAAGTTCAAGGGCTGGGGCTTCATTTTGAAAGTTGGCGGTTATTGCCTAGGGTTTCATCAGTTTTAAGGTTCAGGGGCCAGGGCTTCAGGTTAGGGTTAGGCGTTGGGGCTTAGGGCCCAGGGTTTGGGGGTTCTCCAAACTGGGGTCCGCGTGCCCGTCCTGATTATAAAAGCAATGCGCTCATTGGAGGACCACAGAAACCGGACTCGAATCAACCCTAAACCCTAAACCCCAAGCCCCCAAGCCCCAAACCCGAAACCCTAAAACCCAAACCCTAAACCTAAACCCTAAAACCCTTCTTCGATGCCAAGGAGTGTCCAGCCGAGCTGGACAAGTATTGGTCCAGCATCGGCCAGAGCATGCTGACGCTCTTCTATGCTGCCTGGCAACGACTTGGGCTTTGGGGCCATGTCAAGCTTTGGAGTTGTTTAGGGCGTTATAGGGTTTAGGGGTTTAGGGTTTAGGGGTTTAGGCTTTATAGGGTTTAGGGTGCATGGTTTAGGGTTCATGGTTTAGGGTTCAGGGTTTGGGTTTAGGGTTTAAGGGTTTAGGCTTTAGGGTTTAGGGTTCAGGGTTTAGGGTATTCAAGACTCCACGTTCTCTCGAGTCGTAATAGTCAACCTGGAAGCACGCAGTAGAGGGCCGCGGTAATTAGAAATGTTATCAGAGAACCCAATACACCTTAACTTAAGGAACATGCCTTAAATTATAGGGGCCTTAGTATTATGATTTAAGGTATATTCCTTAATTAAGGGGTATTGGGCTCTCTGGGTTATCCCCTCATAATCCCGATCGGACACGACTAAAGAATATAAGGAGGACTCTATGTTAAAGAACCCCAGAGTACCCTTGAAAGGATCTATAGAGTTCTATAGAACAGACCCCCGAAACCCTGTTCTAACTACCAAGGCACCGGAATCACCCTAAACCCTAAACCCTAAACCCTCCCTTCAAATCCTAAGTCAGGCCATCACCAACGGGGTTGCCTGGTCAGATGCAGTCCGCCCGCTGGAGGATGTTTCTCTTCTGGCTGTTGCCTTCGTGCACCTCCGGCTCACTTTAGGGTTTAGGGTTTAGGGTTCTAGGACATTTTCAGGTGGGTAGTTACGGTTATAGGAGCCTTGTAGAAGGTCTACATACCTTATGGAAGCCTTACAGAAGCCCTAAATACCCTAAACTCCCCACCTGTAGTTTCCTGTAGTTCAGGGTTTAAGGTTTTAGGGGGTTGAGGGAGCTTGTTCAGCTCCTGCTTGTCTTAGGGGGTTCAGGCCCTGGCGGTTTGGGTTTAGGGTTTAGGGTTTAGGGTTTAGGGTTAAGGGTTTAGGGTTTAGGGTTTAGGGTTTAGGGGTTTAGGGTTTAGGGTTTAGGGTTTCTCTTACTGGCCGACTGCAATTGGGGTCCAGCACTGTGGGCTTGACGTTTAGGGCCTTCCAGGGTTTAAGTTTTAGCTGCTGCTCCCCAGACAGAGAGCCCAATACCCCTTAAACAAGGAATATAGCTTAAACCTTATATGAAGCCCCTTATAATTTAAGCTAAGTTCCTTAATTAAGCTGTATTGGGCTCTCTGGGTCTTTCTTTCGGAATTTCGCGAGGAACAGGACTGGGTGCAACCGGTTCTTTCACCCGAGACTCACGGTTTAGGGTTTAGGGTTTAGGGCCCTACACTCTATGCCGGTTGCTTTAGCCCACACATTGAACCCTAAAGTCCACATGGCCCAACCACTGGTTCCTTGTTCTATGAAGTTATCCCGCTTTGGAGCAAGCTGGATTTTCGGTTCTTGCTTGCACCCAGCCCAACCCTAACAACTACTAAGCTGTGAAACCCGAAGTTTGAAAACACCAAAATACGAATGAGACTCCAGAAATACCTAAGAGTTTCATGGTGTTTTTCAACGTCCCTCACGTAGGAAAGTTTTCTTTTCTTTCTTTAAGACACGTAGGGTTTAGGGTTTAGTATAGGGGCCTTTTTATCAATGCTACTTTGGGGGCTCCTTATTATAGTTATAATGTAATATAACCCAAAACCGTATTCTACTTATTAAGGACCCTACATTAGGGCTTAGGGTCTTTTCGTTCTTCACGACTAGTTCTTGAGCACAGGATTTTGGAGTCTGTGTGTGTGTGTGTGTGTGAAACTAATGCATTTCCCCTCAATCCTAGTGTATCCAGAGACTCCAATACCCCTTAATTAAGGAATATACCTTAAATTATAGTAGGATCCCTAATAAGATTTAAGGTATATTGGAGTCTCTGGGTAGGCTTCGACGCGAAACTCAAACCATCGGACTTACCTCAGACCCTAAGGTAATATAGAGGCCTTAAAATAATTAGACTAGGGTTGTGGGGCCCATTATACTATACTTTTAATAAGGAGCCCCTACAATAGTCGCCATGGGTGTTTCGAGGTGCTTGCACGGTGTCTTCTGCGATTCTGCAGTTTACCCAGAGACTCCAATACCCCTTAATTAAGGATCATACCTTAAATCTTAGTAGGGATCCTACTATAATTTAAGGTATATTCCTTAATTAAGGGGTATTGGAGTCTCTAGGTGCGTGTCTTCACATTAGGGCCTCGAAGGTAGAAGTGCGGCTGACTGCATGACCTTCCGCACGCTCGGTTTAGGGTTTAGAGTTTAGGGTTTAGGGGCAGTGATGACGCGGATGTTCTCGATCAGCAGTATCTGCCGTCTGAGGATCTTCTACATCATCATCAGTGTTTTCACGCGACTGGCCTCATTTCTGGAATGGGCCTAGCACCGCGTATGCCCGGGGTATGTTTTTTTTTTTTGTTGGGTTTATGGGTTCGGTTGAGGGTTTGGGGCCCCTGAGCCACATTCCCCCTAACGCCAGAGCTACGATTCCTATTCAATGTTTGTTAGGAACTCAGGGTAGCTGAAGTTTTTTTTTTTATACTGCAGTCCCTTACCCTGAACCCTAAACCCTAAACCGACTTATATGCTGAAACTCCCGGTATATACCACAACAAGACTTTGAACCGGCCCACCAGACTCCCATGCCGCAGTAATATTTGAAGCCGCCGTATTCCCTAAACCCTAAACCTTAAACCCTAAACCCTAAATCCTAATCCCTAAACCCTAAACCCTAAACCCTTAAACCTTCACCCTAGGAGGGGGAGGCCGCAGCTTTCGTATTTGCGGATCTGGCGGTTTGTGCTTAGTTTGAGCTTGTGGGCCCGAGCCTCTCAGCAGTGAAACCCCAAGTTGTGGTTTAGGCTTTAGGCTTTAGGCTTTAGGCTTTAGGCTTTAGGCTTAGGGTTTAGGGTTTAGAGTTTAGAGTTTAGAGTGTAGGGTTTGGGGTCTTTTGGTCCACAGCCCCCAAACTCCTACACCTTGGCGCAAGTTTTGTGTCCCTAAACCCAAACTCCTACACCTTGGCGCAAGCTTTGTGTTTACGGGTGTCACAAGAGCCCCGAGGTTTCTGAAATTCCTGGACTCCTCGTTCCCAAACCCTAAACCCTAAACCATCCTGGGGTTTAGGGTTTAGGGTTTAGAGTTTAGGGTTTAGAGTTTAGGGTTTAGAGTTTAGGGCTTAGGGTTTCGGGTTTAGGGTTCAGGGTTCATTGGACCCCTACACCCTAAACCGAAACTTAACTGCCCAAGGTTGCTGAATGTGGTGACAGGTGCCTCGGCTGCACGGTGACAGGGCAAATCTCCAAGTGCTCGCTTTTCTTGGAGGGATAGCCCCGTCAGGGTTCCTTATTATGGTACCCAGAGAGCCCGATACCCCTTAAATAGGGAATACAGCCTAAATCTTAATATGAAGCCCCTTATAACTTAGGCTATATTCCTTAATTAAGCTGTATTGGGCTCTCTGGGTACATGCAACTCTCTCTACCCTGTACCTAGAAGTCCCCAAACTCTCCACGTCGAGCCAGGGGTGTAAGGTTTACCGTCTTAAGCAAACGCACGGAGAGTTGTGGTGCACTTGCGCGTTTTAGCTGTCATCGCTTTGAAGAAGGCGTCTTCGTGAACACCGCCATCGAGCGGGCAAGTGCGGACAAAGACATCGCCGCACTGAAAGCTTTCCAGAAGCGCAAGGAGCGTCGCTTTGGGGCGCCGCAGGGCCTTTGAGATTTCAGAGTGTAAGAGTAGCAGGGGCGATTGTAGAAGCCGAGCCCTTGCGGTTGAACCTTAAATGCCCGAACTTTGAAGCCTGTGTCCTAAATCCTAATGCCTGAGTCAGCCCTAAACCCCAAACCCCAAACCCTAAACGTAGTCCTAAACCCCAGAATTACCACTCCCCCCCGCAGATGCCGCACTCCCAGCCAGATTACGAGGGTGATCGGGCTACCAGTATTTTGTGGGGTTCCTTATTCTAATTATAGTATAATATACCCCAAGACCCTATTCTGAGTATTCAGGCCCCTACTATAGAACCCTATCATAGATCCCTTATAGAACCCTTTAAGGATCCCTTTAAAGGAACCCTGTTCTAATTACAAAGGCCCCTACATTAGAGCCATGCCGAAGCCCTATGGAAAAGAGCCCAAAGCCGGCACCCCGTAAAACTCCCCCCTGCAAACCCTCTGTGAAGCCCCTATAAACTTTTCATGTAAACTTCAGGGTTTAGGGTTTAGGGTTTAGGGTTTAGGGTTTAGGGTTTAGGGTTTAGGGTTTAGGGATTAGGGTTTAGGGTTTAGGTTAGGGTTTAAAAACCCGACAACTGATGAACACCTTACATAAGCCCGACAATACAAGCATTGTACATCCATTACGCCCAGTCGAGAACCCACAGAAGCTCCGCGAAACTCCAGGAGCAAATCCAGGTGCTGCGGCACGCCTTCGAGGCGATGGACCACTGGCAGACGAACAATCTGAAGATTAAGGAGAGGGTTCCCTTTAAAAGGGCTCCCTGTACGGGTTTAGGGTTTAGGGTTTAGGGTTTACGGTAAAGGGCTCGCTTTACGGGTTCCTTTTGAGAGTTCCCTTTAAGGGTTCCCTCTGAGGGTTCCCCTCATTTTTAAGGGTTCCCTTTAACGGGCTCCTAAACCCTAAACCCCTGAACCCCTAAACCCTAAACCCTAGTGTACTTCCCGTGATGGCATCTATCAAACTCGATGCAGCTTTCGGTTCTTATAATTTAGTAGCAATCTGAAATTTTAGGTTTTTATTTCCCTGGCTTATTGGGGACGTAAGTCTAAATGAGGGTCCTCTATGTCCCGGAACGTTGGAGACTGCAAATGCGAAACCCCAGAAGTGGGGTGAAGACCTCCGATGTAAAGCTTCATCCCGCATTCTCCAGCTTAGCTTAGTACTACACTACTACAGTTAGGATTACTACTGTGGTTGCGATTTTTGGTCGTTCGTGTTCCTGCGAGTTTTAGTATCACCCTTTTTGCCATTTAAAATTTAATCCGATTGCGGTCATTACTGCTAGTCTACTGTTTCTTCAGATCGCGTTCAGAAGCTCCCAAAGCAGGACATTGAGGAGGCGATGGGCTTGGAAAGCGTCGGTGCGTGCTTCGGCAACGGTTGTCAGGTGCTTCTTACCGGGGCTTCGGATTGAGGTTTTTAGGGTTTAGGGTTTAGGGTCCACGGTTTAGGGTTTAGGGTTTAGGGTTTTAAGGTTCAGCAAGTGTTTCTTTGAATGCTGTGGTTGGACCGAAAGGGGGCGGGCGCGCGCCAGATAGTAAGCCGCAAACTCCGAAACCGGGTGTAGGGGCACACGGCTTAATCTACCCCCCCTCCCCCATGTCTCCCCAAGGTTCCTGGAGTCTTTGGACATATCCACCGACGACATCCGGATGCTCTTCACACTCATCGATGCCGACAACAGCCGCTTTGAACTGGTCTACCTTTTCAACCTCTGAGCCCTAAGCCCTAAGCCCAAAACCCCAAACCCTGGACCCTAAACCCACAGCCCAAAACCCAAAACCCAAAACCCTAAATCATAAACCCTAAACCCTAAACCCTAAACCCCGAAACCCTAAAACCCTGAAGCCTGAACCCCAAAAAATAAAACCCATTATCAGGCACCCCAATCCCCAAGCCTCAGGGGCTCGATCCGTGTTTGGGTGGCCCTCCAGGGTCCCTTCTGAGGGTTTAGAAGTTTAGGGTTTAGGGTTTAGGGTTTAGAAGTTTAGGGTTTCGGACTTAGGGTTTCGGATTTAGGGTGTAGAAGTTTAGGGTTTAGGACTTCGGGTTTAGAGGTTTAGAGTTTCTGATTTAGGGTTTAGGAGTTCAGGGTGTAGGGGACTTAGGAGCACTCTGCGGCTCTTGGTTTAGGGTTTCGGGTTTAGGGTTTAGGGGTTTAGGGTTTAGGGTTTAGGGTTTAGGGTTTAGGGTTTAGGGTTTAGGGTTTAGGGTTGCTCAGTTTATTGCTTTCTTGGGTTGTGGTTTCTGTTACAGAGATGCGAAGACACATGGGTAGTTCTCTAAATTAGGGTACCTTTTAGAATCCTTGTTTAGAATGCTGCCGTATTGTTCTGGGAACGCAGATTTAGAGAACTACCCGCATGTTTCTGGCTTACCTTCTATGCAGAGTTCCTCTTAAGGGTTCCCTAGTGTCAGTTTTTGTCGGGCGTTTAGAGCTTCCGTTCAAGGCTCTGGGTCTCCGGATCGCACTGAAGGGGCTGAGGACCTAGAGAGGGTTTAGGGTCTACTGTAGGGGCCTAATTAATTACCTATACTATTTTGGGGTTTCCTTATTATGGTTATAGTAGAATATACCCCCAAACCCTATTCTAACTATCAAGGCCTCTACAGCAGATGTGAATCTCGAAGTTTCGGGTTTTGGCCGGAGAAACAACCAGACTCACCACCAACATCTACCTTTAAACCCTGAGATCCGAACCAAAGCTTTTTGTGGGGCTTTGGGCTCTAGGGCTTTGGGCTTTAGGGTTTAGGAGTTTAGGGTTTAGGGTTTCAAGGCCCAAAAATATCTGCTCCCTAAGCCTGCAATTAGGAGATACCTGTGAGCCTTCCTTAACTTACTGTACGGCTTAAGTTGTTCGAATAGGGGTTCCTTTAAAGGACCTCTTGAAAGGAACATCTGAAAGGAATCCCTGACAAAACCCGGTCAAAAACCCGTTTAACGGATCAGGAACCTCTTAAAAGAACCCCTGGAAAGAATTCCTAAACCCTAAACCCCAAACCATTAATCCCCCAGCCCCTAAACCCTAAACCCTAAACCCTTAATCCCTAAACCCTAAACCCTAAACCCTCAAATCCCTAAACCCTAAACCCTTAAATCCCTAAGCCATAAACCCTAAACCCTTAAATCCCTAACCCATAAATCCCCAAACCCTAAACACCCAAACCCTAAACCCCTAAATCCTAAACCCCTAGAGCCCGAAGACTCCAATACCCCTTAATTAAGGAATATACCTTAAATCTTATTGGGGATCCTACTATAATTTAAGGCAGATTCCTTAATTAAGGGGTATTGGAGTCTCTATACCCCAAAACCCTAGTCTAATTATTAAGGCCCCTAATATAGAACCCTTAAATCCCTGAGCCCTAAACCCCAAAACCTCCAAACTCCTTAAACCCTTGAAGAGAACCCTTGAAAGGAAGCTCCTGGAGCCCAGGTGGTACGATCGACCTCGAAGAGACTCCCGGCTGTTGTAGCTTTGAGTCCCTTTAAGCCCTAATTGGGGTAGGGTGTAGGGTGTAGGGTTTAGGGTTTAGGGTTGAAGGGTTGAGGGTTTAGGGTTTAGGGGTTTGGGGTTTAGGGTTTAGGGTTTAGGGCTTTTAGGGTTTATAGGGTTTTTAGGTCTTTTCGGGTTTAGGGTTTCAAGGTGTATGGTGGTTCGGGTTTCGGTTTTAAGGTTCGGGGCCTTAGGGGTTTGGAGTTGGGGGCCTTGCTTTAGGGCTGTAGGGTGTTAGGGTCTAGTTGCTAGAGCGTCTGCTGGCTATTTTGGATTTGGGCCTAACCCTAAACCCTAAACCCCTATAAAGGAGCCCTGAAATGGTCCCTTAAAGGAACCTTGATCTAGGACATTTTCAAGTTGCCGCTATAGGAGCCTTATAGAAGGTCTATATACCTTATAGAAGCCTTCTAGAAGGCCTATATACCCTAAACTCCCCACCTGTAGTTTCCTTTAACTTCATGAGCTGTCTGAAGCAGTTGCAGCCGTTTCC